GGGACAGGTGTCATGGGGCCCTTGAAGCAAAAGGAGAAAAGAATTGCCAGTCCTTAAACGCCAAGAGTTTTGTATCAACATCCAGACATCCGGGTCCCTGAAGTGGACAGGTCTGGCCACACAGGGCCCGCGTGGCGGCCACCCCCAGGCAGCACTCACAGCCCCGGATCTCCACAGTCCACCCACCCTGAGGCACACCTCCCCAGCCACAGCACAGTGTCATCCTCCTGGCTCCCTGGCACAGAGTGGGGTGGGCAGGCAATCACACAGGGCCTAACCGTGCGCTGGCATGCGCATGTGTGCGTACACACACGCATGCATGCACGTGGGCACATGACACCTTTTAAGAAGCACAAAGCAAGGACCTGGGCTTTGACGGCCTCCTCAGCACGTGCGCCACACAAGCACCCCGGCTGGCGGGAGCTCGGCCTCCCACCTCTCACTTGTTAAGAGTTTCTTCTCTGCGGGAAGGACCCCAGACCGTGAGTCACCCGCAGACTTGGTCTCTGGGTGGTAAGAACCTGAAGAGGAAAAGCCACGCAGCCCCTCCAGTTTGGGCCCTATCCCTCGTAAGCTCCTCCACGACACAGTTTTACGTGTTAAGCACTGCGCAAACCAGAAGGCTGACGTGTCCCGGATCCCGGATGCGGTGCAAGCAGATACCGGCGCCCAGGGGCAGGCAGGTCTGGGGCTGCTATGGGACACGTGTACCTTGTTGTCCTGTCAAAGTGGCGGCCACCCTGACCTTCCCCAATGGCCTCCACTCTGGGGCAGCTGTGCACACCACTCTGTTTCCCTCCTCCTTCCAAGGGAGAGTGAGTGCATCAATTTGCAAAACGTAAAGGGCAGGTTGTGTGTGCCCACGCAGGAGCAATTACTTACTCTCTGCCTTGACAAGCACTAAGCTTGGCCCTGACCCTGGGCCACGCTGGGTGGTGTGGCTGGCTTACCCCAGACCTCCTGGGGAGCTGTGGCCAACTGTCTGACCTGAGATCCAGTCCAGGATTTGCACCTCAACCTAAAACCCAGACAGTCAGAAAACATGTGGGTTAAAAGTCCACACTCCAAGGGCCCACAGGGGAAATAGCTCAAGCTAGACGGCCGTAGTTTCAACCAAATCCTGAAATACAAGCTTGCACAGTGCCTGAGTCTCTCCTCCGAATAAATGCAAATCCAAGATGAAAACCGGGAAGCTCCTCAAGACAGAGCCCCCATCCTTCCTGCGCGGCACACAGCAGGCGCTCAAGAAAGGCCAAGGGAGTGAATGACAGGCAGGCGCCAACTCTGAGCGCAACCACGGGCCTTCACTGGGGCTGATCTCTGGAGGAGACGGACTGCCCAACTCCCTTCCGCCCTCAGGCCCCCGGAGAAGTAACCGACTAAAACAGCAGTTCTCAGCCAGGCCAAGGGCATCAGGCGAGGTCTGGAGGCATTTTGGGGTGTTACAACTTGGCAGGGGAGCAGAAGCCTACTCTAACAGGCACCTAGTAGGCAAAGGCCAGGGATGCTCCTCAGTGTCCAGCAACCCCCACAGCCTCCTCCTCCCTCCCCACAAGGAGGTCCTTGTCCCTTGGGTGAAATGCCCGGGTTTGAGACACGGGGCACCGGGTGTCCCGGGCATTTCTGCAAGCTCAGTCTGTAGTGTTTGGGGGTATCTGTCTGGAATTGGGTGGTGAGGAGGAATCAGAGGCTCAGTGACATTAGTGGTGGTAAGAAAAAGAATAGCCACCAGAGATACTGGCCACAGGGGTCCAGGGTGGGGCCGGGCAGCGTACTGCCCGGGGTCCTCCAGATATGCAGCCTGACAGCAGAATGGCCCAAGTCAGTCTGTCCAGGCAGAGGCGGCATCCACCTGCCTGCCTCCCAAAAGCCTCAAGCCGAAGCTGGAGGAGAAGGGCAGGGGCTAATTTCTAAGAGAGAGAGACCTCTAAAGAGGTCAACAAGAATGCCAAGAAACACGCAGGCCAGCAGGAACCCTGTTCTGAAAAGCCTGGCCTACTCCCTACTGTCAGCCTGGTGAGCTGTCCCTGGAGCCGGCTGTCTTTCATCCCAGGACCCCCGGCTTGTTTAAAGAACAGCTTATTTTTCTGTGGGGGGATCCTGGGAACAGTGCACCCCCATCAGAGAGCGTCCCTCACCCCTTGACTCTCAGAGACAACTGACGTCCCCGGAGGGTGTGGAGGGTGCGGAGGGTGCGGAGGGTGCGGAGAGTGCGGAGGGTGCAGGGAGTATCTTGAACCTGGCTTCCTTGGAGAGATCCCGGTTCCCACACTTCCAAGTGTGACCCTGGGGGATGCCGCTCATTTCCAGCCCTTGGGTTCAAGGAACCTACTGCGGGGCCCAAGTTCTAAATTAAAGAGACAGAATGTGTACTTCCTGAGAAATAACTCTGGGTCTGGGTCCAGGATGCGCTGGGGACCGAGGGCAAAGCATTCCATTACCACCTTCCTTCATTTATAAAGCCTGAGCTGGCCAAGGCTCCACCCAGCTCCGAGATCTGGGGCACCTGAACGCCACACCAGGGACCCAGTGCTGCTGGGGGGAGGGGAGGAGAACCACTTCTGGTCCTGGAGCCTCCAGCCAGACTTTGGAGGGCAGAGACCCCATCTTGAAAGCTGGTAGAATTTTCGATTTCAACCGTCAGGGTCTCATCCTTCAGATGAGGAAACTAAGACAGCTTAAGGAACCAACCACCAAGGGCCACTGGGACACGACCCTGCAGCCCAGCTCCAAATCCATCTTTGATGTTCCGCATGCAGACAACCCCCAGTCTGCAGACAACCCCCAGTCTGCGTCATGTGAAATGTGGCCTTCCTTCCGCACTTCAAATTTTCTTCCCCATCTTTTTGTACAAAGAAACTCCAGGCCTTCAGGCTTCCTCACCAGAGCCTTTCGCGGAAATCTGATTAGCACTTGCAACAAACTGTTACATTATACCTGCATTTTAAAGATCGCTTCCCTTCCTGCCCTGGGCTTTCTTCCAGTAAGCAGGGGGCCGTGTGTAAAAAATACACTGTGCATGGTGAGTCACGTACCACGCCAGGGCCGGCTGGAGCAGGCCAGGGTTCCAGGTGCTAACCTCGAGGGTCCTGCTCAGACGCGCCATTGGGGGAAGCACACGGGTTGAAGGCAATGGGTTTAACACCCTGGTGTCAGCCAGAACATCATCAGGGCTGAAGGGACAGGAATAAGAATGATTTTTTTTTTTTTTAAAAACATCCTGAACACAAAGGAAGGACAAGAGCAAAATGCCCATGCCCAGTCCTCACAATGGTTAAGTTCGACACAACAGCGTGGAACCCTGGGGTGGGGGGTTCCCCTAAGGCAACTTTACAGAAGGGGGGAAATGAGGCGCCGACGGTCCTTCACCAGCAATCCACTCGCTGAGGAGGCCCTCTCCACACATGTGTGAACATATCTTAATAATATCCTCGTGCATTTCATTAGCCTCCTGAGTTCACAAAGGGCCTTTGGGAAGCAATCTGGTTTAATGCAACTCAGTTCCGCAAACGGTGACTCTGGGCAGGTTCTCCTGGCACCTCGCTGGCCTGGCATGGGGCGGTCTGGGGAGTGGGGGTTGTGGGGGGGACCAGGCTTTCAATTCCGGGACTGGAGGGAGCGGGGGCACTCATGGATGGAAAGACCCACCACCAAAGCGGGCCAGCCTGCCCCAGCAGGGCCAGTCATGGGTTATTTTTACCTCTTGTGCCTCACTGTACAAGCTCAGGGGCCACAAACTGTGGCAGCCGCCTGCGGAAACTGGCTTATGAGTCACCCAGTGACTGCCCTGCTCCATGGTGGCCGCCTCTGACTCCTGGTCCGAGATGGAAGAAGGCTGGCCCTTGCAAGAAGGGCTGTGTGCTCCCGTGCCTCAGGTGCTTAGAGGCGAGTGTAGGAAAACTGAAGCCCCGAGAGGCAAGAGGTCCCCAAAAGGATGGGCTGGGGGAAGGGATACAGGCCGAAGGCCGTCTACACAACCCAACCTCCACCTGAGTGGGCAAATGCATGACGGAAGTCAAGGCTGATTTGTCTCAAGTTCTGGATGTATAGGGCGACTTGGTGCAAGCTTCCAACACCCCCTCCCCACCCTCGATCTACCTCCTCCTTTCAGGGCAAGGCAGTCCCAAACACAGACAGCCCCAAACTTTGACTCATTTGTAACCAAGGTCCCAGCCAGGCTGAGCCAAGCTGTCCAGACAGAGGCTATTTATAGGTGCGTCGGGGACACAGACACTCACACAATGAGACACACACTCGGGATCCACCTTCAGCCAGACCCACCAGCGCTGAGCCCTGAATGCAGACACCGGACACCAATGGTCCCCAAACCTCCAAAGCAATACACACAGTGTAAAGAGGCACCAGACGCGGACACGGGCAAGACGCAGGAAGACTACATACATACTCCCGGGACAGACTGCGACCCAGACACACAGACACAGAGAGAGACACGGAGACGCGCCAGACCCAGACAGAGACACACAGACACGCACACTCCACAGACGCAAGGAGACCCACTCACACAGACCGAGACAGAAGCGCCACGCACACTCCAGACACACACCCCGGGCCCCAGACACCCCGCAGGCCAGACAGTGTCTCACACGCCCGCCACCCCCCTTCCCCCAGCCGAAGTTGATAAAGAGCCGGCCTAATTGCTCCATCGAGACTGCCCCTTAGGGAAATAAAATGGAAACTTCACGGTTTCGACCGCCCCAGCCCTCCCGCGCCGGGCGCCCCGCCGCCCTCCGCGCCGCTCGGCCCCGGGTCCGAGTCCCAGCGGGCGGGGCGCGGGCAGCGGGGGCCGTGCCAGGCTCGCCGCGCCGCGGGACAAAGCCGGGCCGGCCGCCAGCTGCCGCGAGCCAGGAGGGCGCGCCCGGGGCGCAGGGCGCACGGCCCGAGGGGGCGCGCACGGCCCGGGCCCCCGCCCGCAGCTGCGCGGGGACTCGGGGTCCGAGCCCGACGGGGCCTCAGGGGAGGGGGGTGCGGGGGTCACTCACTGATCTCCATGCTCTGGAACAAAGAGCGTTTGCAGTTGCACGTGCAGGAGACATTGGGCTGCCCGGCGGCGAGGGCGGCGGTGCTGTTGACCCCCATCAAGCGGTGCATGGACGGCGCGGCGGCTCGGCGCGGGGCGCAGGGGGCACGGGGGCGGCCGGGGGGGGTTCCGGCCGGCGCCCGGCGCTGGGGCCCCGCATGCAGGAGGCGCGCGGCGGGGAAGGCGCACCCCGGCTCGCCGGGCTCGGGGCGCCGCCAAGTTCCCGGGGCGCTGCGGGACTCAGTGCGCGGGGCCGCGCTCCCCTGCGCCCCCCGGCCGCCCCTCGGCAGCCCCGGGGGCGTCGGCAGTGCCCGCGGGTGGCGTCCGGGAAATGGGCTGGCAGCCGGGGCGCGCGCTGCCGCCGGGGCTGAGCCTCTGCTGCTGGCTTCCCGCAGCCGAGCGCCTCCGCCGCCGCCGCCTCCTCCTCATTCAAGTCCAAGGAGATCGGGTTTCGCTCCGAGACCGCGGTCGGAGGCAGGCAGACGGTCTGACGTCAGCGCTAGACGGGGCTGCCGGTTCCCACCGCGCGGGGGCCGGGGAGGGGGCGCGCGCTGCGCCAATCCCCGCCGAGGTTCCCCCGCACCCCCTTCCCGGGCCGCGGGGCGGGGTGACAGGGAAGGGGGCGGGCTCTTAAAGGGCCAGAGCGAGGCGGCCCGCGTAGACGCGGGACCAGCGGGGCGGAGGAAGGGTGCAGCGTCCCTGCCCCTACTGGGGTCCGTCTGAAACCCCTGACCTGGACACGCGGGTCGGAGGAAGCGGGACTCGTTCCCACCTTCACCTCCGCGGGTTGCGGGTGCGTCGCGGGACCCCGGAATCCTTGACCCCGGTTTAGGGGAAGCTTGTCCCTTCCCAAAGGAGAGGGAATTGGAGAAGATGAGGGAAGTCCTCCCGATCACCCACACCTGATTTCGCAGGAAACTCTCCGCCCCCAGGTCTACAGTCCCGCGAGCCTTCTACTGCCCCGCGCCCCCTGCGCCCTTTAACCCGACCCCAAGGAGGTCGACTGGGTCAGACTGGAATTCGGGTAGACACGCCCCGGACCGCTCGGAGAAACGCCCGGGAGCCCTTGTCATGTAAATACGTGTCGGGAACTTGTGTAACGTCGCAGCCGGCGGGGCCCGGGGCGAATCCACTCCCATTGTCTGCTGCCGGAGGGGCCACCGGCTGGGGGGGCGCGCCTCCGGAGTTCAAAAGGGGGGAGGACGTACGGGGGTGTACTTTCATTTCATTAAGTTTTAATTACACAAGTGCTCTAAGAGCACATTCTCCTGGTTTAAAAAGAAATGGAAATATTACGTCAGAGGATCTCTCCCTGGCACACCTCCAAACTCTGAGCGATTTGGTGTGTCCCCTCCTAGACCCTTGCCTAAAACTCCACATGTTTGCCCTGCAGTAGTGGAGCGCCTGCCTTGGGCCTGAAACTTACCAAATATTAACTCAACCTCATACCTACTCCCAGAGGCAGGAATGTTATTATCCCCATTTCACAGACGTGGGAACTGGCCTGGGGAGTTGGTTGCTTAGGGTCATTCAGTGGAGGACCCTGCTCCTCACACAAGAAAGGTCCAGGGGTTATCTGTACCCTCACATAGTTTTCTCCTTTAAATACCAACATACCCTGGAAGTTAATGGGGTTTAGTAAGGAGCAGATTCCTTTTGTATGGTTGCCGGGGCAGTGGGGGGCGGGGGGTGTGTAGAGGTGTTTAAAAATTATTTCCTTTTAAGAGAGGGTAACCACACCAGAGACTTGCAGAACCCAGAGGAAGCCAGCTCAGGAAGGGGATGTGACCTCTCTGGGCAGCTGGGCACAGCGATGCCTCTTGCTCTCTTAAGAGCGCAGGCCGAGAACTCTGTAGGAGGACTCCAGCTCTGGGGTGACTGGTTGTTCTGGGCGGGTTTATGGAGGAGCCCTAGGGGGTGCCTAACACAGAGGGAGTTTCAAAGGTACTGACCATCATTTGTTTGGGAAGAGAGGCTCACTCTCAGAGCTGTGCCCAACCCCAGGACTTGGAGGTGGGGAGCTCTCAGGGATGGCATGGCCAGGACAGTCTCAGACCCTAGCTTGAGAAGGGACTGATCTACCTGCAGGTCTGGGATGGGGGAGGTCTCCCTGCCGTTTGGCCCCCACAGCTTGGAGGGAAAGCCTGGGGGTTCCTGATTGTTGCTTGGGGGACCCTAACAATGTAGGTTGGACCTGGGGATGACCGTGCGTTCTACTCATTGCCTGGGCCAAAGAAGACCGCCATCGTAGCCCCTTCTTTCAGCGATCCCTTCTTTCACTCAATCAACAAACTCTCAGGAGCTCCAGCGCTGTGTGCCGGGAACTCAGGAGTCCAGGAACAACCCCTGCGCTTTGACTCTCGCAGAGGCTCTGGATGTCTGACAGTGAAAAACCCCGCACTTTGATTGCCTTGGAAATGAAGCAGCATTTACTCAATCGAGGTCGAACCACCAGCAGGCAAAAATAACCAGTGAATTCAATGGATAAAAAAAACAAAACAAAACAAAAAAACAAAACCAACAACAACACCTTAGCCACAATGTTGGCCTCTGGTTGATTGGCCTGGGATAACAGCGCTGGTGGCATTCACGGAGTGCCTACAGTGTGACATCACCGCTGTAATGGCGGCAGTTGCCACCGGTTCGTGGTCTGGACCCTGGTTCCAAGGTTGGCTCTGCCCAGAGGCCTGAAGTGGGGTGCTGGGCATGGTGGTCACAACTGCAGCTCTAAAGATGGGTGGGACACGTGACCTTGGCAAGTCCCTTCATCTGTCCCACAGCAGCTACCTCCTCTGCAAAATGGCACTCCTCATGGTGTCCTTGACTGGGATAACAGTCAGGAATGAAGGAGTCAGGGCTGATTAAGAGGCTATGTGCTAGTGGTTATGTTGTGTAATCCTCACGGCAACCCGGGGAGGGAGGAACTAGCATCGCTTTACAGATGAGAGGACTGGCAATTGGGAAGGTGTCACCCCATGACAGTGTCCTTGGCTAAGGCGGGTAGTAGGAAAGGACAGAATTGCTCTGGGAGAAGCATACGCTTAAGAACCCACAGTCATGGGAGGCTTTGTGTGTGCCTGGGACTGCCAGATCAATATGAATTTCAGATAAATCATAGACAAATTTTATTCTAAGTATATCCCATGCAATATTTGGGAAATACTTATACTAAAAATTTATGCTTTTCTTCTCTGAAATTCAAATTTAACTGGATGCCCTGCATTTTTATTTGCTGAATCTGAGTGTCCTCTGTGTACCAGGCGCTGTGGTGCGGGTAATTCAGGGAGGGGGAAGACAGAGCCCGTGGCCAGGCTCAGGAAGAAGAGTTCATAGCTCCCTGATTCTGTCTACGGTCATGCAACAGGGCCAAGGTGTGAATGGTGCAGTGCAGGAGCCCTCACCCGACTGGGAGTGTGGGTGCTAGAGGGTAGGTCACCTCTGCTGGACTAGATCGAGTCCATGGGAGGGAGGCCACAAGTCAGGGAAAGAAATTTCCTTCCTTCATTCAGTAAATATTGTGTACCTCAGTGCCAGGTTTTGTGCTGGGTACCGGGCACAGGGCAACAACAAAAAAAATCTCCACCCTCATGTGACATGTGGGGGAGGGTCACATGGGATAGGGGGCAGGAGAGACTGGAGACTCACGTGCAAACCCGTAGTTAAACTAGGTGACTTCAGATGTGGTCTGAGGCAAGGTTGGCGATCAGCGGAGCCCACCCTGAGAAGGTGGCATTTTGTTCCATTCTTATATGCTGGGCATCAACCTAGAGCTTCTTACAAGTCCCTTCCCTTCTGGGGCTCCTGTGTTTGCAGGGGAAACAGACAACAAATGTGCAAACATCTAAATCCAGGTGACAGTTTCAGAGAGGCGCCGAGTACAGAGCCAGAAACATTACCAAGGGACATGGTCTGGAAGCAGCTGGAGCCAAGAAGTGGCCTCTCTGGGCGGAGGGACAGACACAGCAGGTGCCCAAGGAGAGCCCTTGGAGTTGGGGTGGAGGGGAAGAAGAGCAAAGGGATTTACGGTCCCGGGAAGTCTGGGATTTGGGACGCATTTCCCAACCTGGTTATAGGGCATGGGATTGTGAAACGGGTGTATGTCCTCAGGTGACTGCCAGGACAGGCCTTTCAGGGTGTCCAGGTGGTACAGTGCTGCTGTCCGCCCCGAGCATGGGTTGGCTCTACCACAGGGGATCTTCAGAGAGAAGAGATCCTGTCCATGTCAGTAGGGAGGGCTGCCCCCCAACGGCACATCCCTGCCGCCTGGGTTTGAGTACAAGGCCAACTTCACAGGCGTGTGACCAAGCAGGTGCCAGGGATCCTCCCTCAAAAGGGCCTCAAACTTGGGTGAATCCTTCACTGTCACCATCTTGAAACTCTTAATAATGACTGATTTTGAAACGAGGGGCCCTGCATATCCCGTAGCTGCTCAGGGGCAGGGCCTGCGTTGGCAGCCGTTGGGAACCCAGGGCACCCTGTGTGGGTTTTGGCTGGGCCAAGGGAGGCTGGCCGCATCCTGACTGTGTCCGCGGGGCATTGTGGAAAGTGCCCGGCTGAGTCAACAGAGGGCCCGCCCCAGCTGGCCGCCTGCAGTGGGGATGTGGCAGAACTCGGCCTCCCCAGGTCCAGCCCTGCCCCTCACCCCACTGCCCCCCCCAGGCCTGCCGCACAGACCTGCCTCTTCAGACGCAGCTCTCAGCAACCATGGGGTGGTTTAACCACCTCTCCCCTCAACTGACCACCTTTGGAAGCTCCTTCCTGCTGGGTCCATCTGTCCCCAAATCCAACACCATGGATTCATCGGTCTGCCAACGTTCCCGGGGTAGCATCTTGGGACTTCGTGTTTTTCCATTTTGGGGGGAGGGGGATCCTGGATCCTGTTTTGCTTCCAAACACTAATAACAGCTAATGATTTTTGGTCCCTGCCTGTGTACCAGGTCCTGTTCTAGACACTTCATATTCACTCATTTAATGCATCGGGGTCTACAGTGAATTCATTGGATCGTTACAACAGCCCTATGAGGTCTGAGCTAATGTTTTTCCCTTTTGACAGATGGGGACACTGAGGCTCAGGGACCCACCAGGGAGGCAGGGCAGGATGTGAATGCAGGTGCTTGGGCCCCAGAACCCATGGGCAGACCTCAACAAAGGGTGCTTTCTGCTCCCCTCCTCCATCCTTACCACCTGAGCCCCCTTGACCTTCACAGCTGGGCTTGGGTAGCACCCTTCCCTGGGCTTCCTGAGGCTCCCTGGGCTCCATCTCACCTCAGAAGAGGAAGAGCCTCTGACTTCTGCAGGGGGGCCTGGAAGTGGGCTGGGAGGAGAGGAGGTCAAGATGAAACTCAGAGAGCACCTGCTGCCGGAATCCCATGGGGTGACCTTGGCAGGTGGTTTCACCTTGCTGAACCTGCATCTCCACCCCTAAGTGGAGAGTGGGAGCAGTATTTCACAGTGAGTGGCGGCCCGAGTGTCAAGTCCTTGGCACAGTGACCAGCGGCAGCCGACACGTATGTTGGCACGTTCCCGGTCTGTCTCCACTTGATTGGCAACCCTAGAGAG